TCCAGGTGTATATATAAATTACTAGTTAACTTAGCAAATTCTCTAAACAGTGATACTTGAAGTAATCAGTTTTATGAGATATAATTTTTATTAGGGTTAGTACTAATTAATAAGTATTTGGGTAGCTAAAATAACTACAATTTTTTTTTGTAAAACTTTAATTGTATTCCTTTTGGTAATTCTTCTACCATCTTTGTTCAATAAGGTCAAATGCATGTCAGTAGCAACTGATTAATCGCTCACTTTAATACTGAAAACATCGAGAAGAATTTTATTAAAACTCTCTGAAGTGTTTATTGGAAATTATTTCATCACAAGAAGCCATGCCACCAAGTCTTTCATACAAAACAGAAACATGCAAAGAAAAATTAAATAAAAATACAAAAGATAACACATTAAAAGTAAGTTTTGTGTATGCTGAAGAGAGAGAGACAGAGGAGGACCAACTAAGAGATCAACAAAAAACTAAGCAGTGAAAACAAAACTGAAACATAACCTCAGATGGTACTGGCAGATATTCACATTCTCTCTGTACACTCTATGATGACAACAAAGTAGTCTAATTAGGTCTTCCACAACAGAAAGAACAAAACTTTACAAAAAAAATGAAAAAAATGCACCAGTATTCACATATTATGCAAGTTACCACAGATCAAAATTTTGTGAAATAATAGCAACTTACAATATTAAACCCCATGTGCATAGTTTTATTGTATGTACACATTAGTACAGCTACTGATTAAAATATGTTAATTTTTGTTAAAATCTTTAAATTGTTAATCATTTATTTTAGCCCTGTACTACAGTTTTTAATCTTCTGCAATGAATTTTGTGGAACTACCATGAGATAAGTGTCAAACTTATTTGTTATGAAAATTGCTAATAACAACAGTCATAACACATTCTAAACATGTTTCATAAAACATTATTACAAATGATGAACAAGAAATTGTAATGAATAACAGCACAGTACTCTTTGATGAATGTTTTATAAACATAGATATTTAATACTACACTTTCATCACACTTAAGCATGTCTTTAAGCATGTTCAATGTCATGCTTAATCATGTAGGTACTTGATATTGCACTTTAGTCACAGGTAAGCCTACACATTTTTAAATATACTCATTGCCATGCAAAATCATGGTTGAGCTTTGTTGATTGGTAAAGGTAGATTACTGGCTTCTTTCTAACAAGTTTCTAACACATTAAAATGTTTGTTGGCAGAATAAAACAAAGCTTATTTATTTGTTCATAAAATGTCTGGGAAATCATTTTTGAAGAAGGTATCATAAAAGAACTGCTTAATCTTGAGTGAGGAAAAAAGAAGTGGAGTAAACACCATTATTTAAAAAATACTGTAAAAGTAAATTATCATAGATTCACCCTGAAAAATTACCTCAAACAATCATTTCCCTAAAAATTCAAAATTTGTTTACTATCAAATCACTAGATTTTTATCACACTTAAGTTTCAGACTCTAGCTTTTGTAACAGAATACAGGAATATACTGCATAATATTAGGTTGTCAAGAAATTAAGGTCGCTTTTATATATCAGCACAAAACATTTATTAAATGAAACAGTTTCCATTCTAATTGATGATGCTTTTCCATCTTACAATCAGGTTGTTAATGTACTGTTTAAAGAAATCACTTGCCTTTGAAGCAAAAAAACATGTCGATGTCCTCTTTAACACCTTCCACATTTTCATACATTTTCCCATTAAGATGGTGTTGCAGCAAACGAAAAATATGGTAATCTGATGGTGCCATATCTGGCGAATATGGTGGGTGGGGAAAAACTTCCCAACCCAAATCCATAGTCTTGTATTGCGTCAAATGTGCCACATGTGGACGTGCATTGTTGTGGATAAGAACACCTTTCTGATTGACGAGTGAAGGGCATTTATGATGAAGGACTTGATTTAAATATTCCAGTTGCTGACTATATATCTCTGCATTGACAGTTCACTGTGGATTGAGGAGTTTGAAATGAATTACTCCTTCAATGTCCCACTAAATGCAAATCATCACTTTCTGCAGATGGAGTCCAGGTGTTTGGGTCAGAAGTGGTTTTTGTCTAGGACTGAGTCATTGTTTTTGGCATTTAATATTCATATAGAGAATCCATTTTTCATCACCAGTGACAATTCTGTCCAAAAATGGTTCATGCACATTATGAGCCAGAAGAGAAGAACCAACTTTCACACATTGGAAACAATGTTCATCGAAGAGTATGTGAGACACCCAAATACCTTCTTTATGGAGTTTCCCCATATTCCTTAGATGTTTACGTATTGTTTCATGACAGACATGCAATTTCAAGGCCATTTCATGAGTTTGTTGCCTTGGGTTAGACTCAACAAGCATCTTCAGAGCATCAATATCAATTTCAACATGTCGGCCATCACAGTTTTTAAGGCTAAAGTCACCTGAACAAATTTGCTGAACCATCATTGACACTTACGAATGTTCAAAACATTTCCATAAACTTCTTTGATATTCCTTGTGGCTACAGAGGTGTTGTTTCCCTTCTTGTATTCAAACAGCATTACATGCCAAATGTGTGTCTCATCATGTGCCATCACTCTAAGGGATTAGAGTAAACTAGACTTTACACATTATATAGGTACACTAGCATGACATTTAGGTAGTTCATGGGAGTGGTTAATGAAAGTGTTCCAAAACACGACATTAATTTTTTTACGACCTAATATTTTCAAGTGAAATCAATATCCAAATATATATTATGTAGGTAAACTCATTATTAACAGCAGATTACACCATGAAATAATGGAAGTATTCTATATTTGATAACTTGACTGAGTTATTTGAAGTTTTAAATAATGAGACTAATCAAATGTAAATAAATGAACAAACCCTTTATTGTAACAAACAGAAAGTAAAGTGTGCATAGTTGCCCAGATGGAATCATAGTCAGTTCTCTGCTAGATTGCTTAGTCCCATGGCTTTCACTCTGTCAGAATTAATCTCTGTAGAACTAAAACACAATGATATTCAAGTGTAATCTTTTCTACACAATCTCTTAATACATCTGAACCAAGAAAGTGTGCCTGAATTCAACACGTGAACTTGCTTTCTTTGTCCAATCAACAGCATTGCCTCATAAGTTTTGTTCTCTCACAGCATTTGCTGATTGTGATGCAAAATAGCATGTAGCCAGCCAGCAAGAATATTAAAGCCACTAATCCCCCAACACAGATGTACAAAATCACTGCAGTATCCCTTCATGCTGAATAGAGGTATCTGCTATAGAGAATAAAGAATATGGCAACTTTAACAACTTTCTGGACTACATGTTGTCACCATTACAGCATGGAAACTAAATAACCACAATTTTTTTTATATTTCTATATAACTGAAAGTAGGTATAAAATGCACGATATGCCTGAGTACCATATGTGCAAAGTAATACATTTGGGTTATCATAATTTAGATCAAACACTTCATATAGATGGGAAACAACTCAATAACATGACTGAAGAAAAGAATCTTGGCATAGTGGAGGATTTAGTCACTCAAGCTTTCAAGGCAATGTTCTGTTACAGTAGAGTTAATAGAAATTTAGGGTGTATTTGAATATATATTGATTATAAGTCAAAGTTAATTATCTCTATATAGATCACTAGTTAGGCCTCACTTAGAATATTATGTACAGTTTTGGTCTTCTTATCTAAGGAACGATATTTACTTGTTGGAAAGGGTTGAGAGTAGGGCTACAAAGAGGATGTTGGGGATGGAAGGATTATTATATAAGGATATGTTAAAATCTCCCAACTTATTTTTTCATTTAAGTTTACGATACTATCTGAGGGATCAATAGGATAAAGACCAACTGATTTCTTTGTGCTATGTTCTAAAGGTAATTGAATGGAAAGACACAAGCTTAAAATCTGAAAAAACAGGCTTAGCTCCAATTAGAATAGTTTTAAATTTTCAAACAGTATGATTGTAATGGAGGTTTGCACTTTACAAGAGTTTAAGAGAAGTATTGTTGATTTCATGAAAAGTAAAGATTGGGTTTAAATTCTTACTTTTTCTAAGGATGAGTGTGAAAAGACAGCCTTGAAGGAACAAATGGTCCCTTGTTGTTTCTTGGTTATGCTATGTTATCTGTCTATCTACATTTATCAAGAATTGCAAGTAGTAAGCAGTTTTACCTGTTCATGCTTTTTGTTGTTTTTTCAGTCACCATATACAACTGTTTAAGTACATTTCAAGGTGATGTGCAAGGGATTCTTGCTTGTTTCAGTACATCTTTCTCTTTTAATATTTATTACTAAGGTAGAGCAGTACAGTTAATGAAAAACAATTATTGGACTGTTGCCCTGCCTTAAATTTTTATACATCAAACTAAAAAGTTTCTTTGTAGGGATTTTTCAAAGTTTTAATTCAAATATTGTGGCTCTATCTCTTGAACCATCTTTTATGACTTCACATTCTAGGTTAGTTGGCTTCCCCCCATTTTGGCATCGTAAACAGATGATAATGTTGAGAAATATTATGGAAGGAAGATTCGAATTTTGCAGTCCAGAATGGGATGATATAACTGATCTTCCTAAGGACCTTGTAAGAACTGCTTTATAATCTGTTTTACTACCAGATAATCAGTTGAAATTTAATTGTGTGAATTGTTCTTTGCATTGAAGACTGAGTTTTGTTTCTTGTTTTCATTACATGTGTTGTACAGTCTTATACCAAAATGTGGGAAGAACTAGAAAATAAAAAAAAACATATTCTTTATATGTATGTATATGGACATGTAAGTACTGAATTTTTTACTTACTTTTTTTCAGCATCAATTTTTTCATTAATAAAATTTAACATTTACTCACATAGTGTTATAACAGGTTATATATTCACTTTCAAGTATTTGACAATCATTAATTTATTTATTTTTTGTAATTAGGGATACTCAACATGTTTTGTTTTTCGGACTTTAACTTTTTTGGTTTCATACTTTTCAAATAGAGATGTTGTTTGAATAGATAATATAACAATGGCCTGTCACATACTTTAAATCCATGTTATAACCTAACATTGTATTCAAACCTACTAAGTATTGTAAAGAAACATATGCTATAGTATTTTAATGTTTTTGGATGAGCTGCTCTATGTAAGTATGCTTAGACTTACAGAAGTTCTGCCAATTTATAACTCCTTAAATATCAAAGGTTTGTTTTTCCCAATGGAACCAGTTTTGGATGTTGTCTAATAAAATCTTATTTTACAGGACTAAAGTAAAAGTTTTGTTAAGTGTGGAATTATTAAAAGTTTAAAAAAGTATGTTAAATATCTGTGATAAGCATTTCATGTACATTAGATACATTTTCTACCCTTCATCACAGTTTCATCCAGTGGAAAATGCACTATTGGGATAATGATTATTTACAATATTTACTTGGATGACTGTATAATGTCTTGACTTAGCTTACTAAAATGTTAATACCCTTGCTGTAAAATTATTGTTTGGATATTATGGTGACAAATGGTGTTTATGGTATTTTGCTTCTGATATCATTTGTTCAAATTTTGAAATTATTAAACAGAGAGAAAAAATAGATTTTTATCCTCATTACAAACGCACACACACACTAAAGTTTGAGTTGAAGGTATCAGCACTTAAGTTTTCAAGATAAGTTACAAAAAAACGTGTTAATGAAGTTTACATTATATTTATACTTCGTATTACAATATTAGGCATGATGAGTTCATCTTAATACCTAACAAAGTTAATATTTCTAGCCCTAACTAACCAATCAGAAATGGATTCTACCATTTTAGGGATTATAAACCATTATTTCCTTCAGATTTTTGCTGTACAGGCTTCTCTTTCTGAAACAGACTTACCTCCTCTCCAACAAATGCTATCTCAATCATTGTCTGCCATCTAAGCATTGCTGAAAGAATTTTTAGTAATGAGTAGTCTTTATACCCCACCTGTTTTGCACCATTTCTGAACATGTACATATCACATGACTACTCTCCACCAGTAGCATTGAACCTACAATGGTGCAACTAGCTCCCTCTGCTTCCTCACTTTCTCAGTTGGCATGACACAGTTTAGACATGTATTTAATTTTTCAGAGTATGACTACAGTTTTTGATTGTGCTTTGTTGCCATTTCCAACGAAGTTTATTCAACAATTTCTAATTTTCTTGTTTGATGTCATTTGTTTCCATGAATTTACATTCTTCCTTCTCTGGTTTGATTGGATCCTGCTTACTTCCTCCCATTCTCAGTCCAGAGTACACACTCCTCTGCTCCTAAAAGATGCAAAATGGGTTGGTTTCCTTATGACAAGGGGAAGTCCATTCTGACCCTCTTTAAATACCCCATTCATTAGGGAGGGGGGGGGGGTCTTTTCAACCTCAGTCAGGCCCAGCCTTCTCCTCTTTGTCCTTGGGTTGGAGCAAGCAGTTCACACATCCTTCACCTTTCTGTTCTACCTCTTTGAGAATGTGGATTTCCTTGGAAGCTCTCATTCCCTTGGGTCAGACTCGTATGTTTTCTCTTTGGTGAACACTTCTTGATCAGTGGAACATCTCCTCGGATCCCTGGCTTGGTGGTTGAAAAGAGTCCAGACCACTGTGGGAATGCTGTTAACTCCGCATAATCCGGATTTATGTCTGTTCCCATACTCCTCTTTAGGGGCTGAGGTTCTCACCTCAACTCTCAGAAAATTTCCGGTCTCTGGTCAATCAAAGAGTCTTTGGTGATTCGTCAAGCCTTGTCCCACTTCCTTCCTCTCCTATGGGAGTGGTGGTTATGGTACATTCCCACCTCTCCACTGTGTTCACTTATATTACTGAGCCCGCTGTCATCACATCGTGGTCTTCGCTTGCTTTTTTCCTGGCTCCTTCCATCTGGTGGTGGTTCAATTATCTTCTAATACGATTTGCATCAGAAAGTGGTCCCTTGTTTCACAGATGTTGCCACTCTCTGTGTTTTTTCAGGATTTTGCCTTGTCCATTGTTTGAGCTCAGGGTCTGACTCCATGTTTTACATCCTTACTTCCCAATCCATGAGACCTTCTTCAATGTCCTTTTCCCACTGATTTTAGTATACCTCCAGTTTTGATCTCTTCATTGGTTTCTGTTCTTCCCACTCTTCCTTCTTCACCCTGTAATTTGTCCAAGTCTAGGTCTCAGGTGGCCGTGTCTATCTCCTTCCATTTCTTCTGGGTTTTGTCTTCCCTTGTCCTTTCCATTCCTTTGCTTTGGGATCTCATTGTGGTTCTTTATGCCCTTTCCTGTCCTACATTTCAGCCTTTGTCTTAATGTTCCATCTACCTTCCCTCCCTTAAAGCCTAATTCCTTCTCCTCTTTCCTTGTGATTGTCATCATTCAGATTTTTATACCATTCATATTACCCACATCCTTAGTATTTCTCCTGTGTCATCCTCTATCCTGACCTCAGTCCTTCCTCCCTATGACCTATGCTGCCAGTGACTGTGTTCTGGATTTGACACCCATTTCCTTACCTTCCATTTGCCACCTGTACTTCCATTCTGATCCAGATAGGCTTCTTTGTCTGGTTCGTTCCTTCAGATGTTATGTGGCATGTTCTGCCTCTTTTCAGGGTTTGTGTTCCTGACTCCTTATTCCCTGTTACCCTTCAGTTTCCAATGTTCTGTAACCTGTTACTCTCACTGGTTGGGTTCATCAACTTATCTGGCTGGCTTATTCAGACTTGTCCGTGGAAGGTTGCCATCTCCATAATGTCTCTTTGCATCTAATTCATCACATTACTATCTCTTTTGCTGCTTGCTGTCATCATCCTTTGAAAGAGATTGTTTGTCTGGATAGTGAACTGCTCCCAATACCTTCATCGCTCATTATCTGCTAGATCTGGCTGTGTCTTCCTCTGGTAGGTATCATCTTCCTCCCATGGCAGTTCTATGCATGTCTGTTTGCCTTTTCCTGGGGTAAGTCTTATTGCTTCCTTTCATTTATGTTTTATTTTCAGCTTCACTGACCTTAGCATCTTCTTTATGGATCCTACCTTGTGGTGGGTGTTGCCTAGTCAAGTAAGCTTTGTCTTAAACCCACACTAATTGAAGTAACTATATAATTCTCATGGTTTGTATGTATATCTAGATATTAAAAATAATTCAAACTATAGCCTTGGTGGACCATCACTGTTGGACTTCATGAGAAAAACAGAAGGACATTTCTGCTCATCCTTTGATTACTTAATTAGGTTCAGTCCGCTTTTCAAAATAGGGAAACACAGTCACCCATTGCACTTTTTCCTGTTGACATTCCTCTGGACTCCCCACCACCATTTTACTCCTCATTTTTTTCTACTAATGGAGCATGGGAGTCCTTACCACTCTCAGTTTCCTATTGCTGGGGTGGTGGACCATGGAGGCTTCCTCTTGAGTGTAATTCCATGTTTCTATACTTACACTCGTTTATCTACTAAGTGAGAACTGTACGAAGTTGGTTCCCAACTAGCACTTCCCCCAGATGTTTTCTGACTCGGCAGAACACACAAGTAAAACCAAGGATCAAATAATAATTGGGGCCATCCTACCTAGGATCTGCCTCATAATTCCGGATTCAGGATGGCAATGCCATGTTCATGCGATTGTGTGCAGTAGACACCTCTCTTCTCGTTAATTCCAGTTGCAAAAAATTCTTTCCTGCTTCTACATTTGGGTTTGAGAGACTTCATCTGCCTCATAATACTGGCAACGGGACATCCATGCTCTGTTCCTATGGTGGGGCGAATGCTGGTTGTACTTCTCATAATTCTGGATATAATAAATGATGTCTCTGCCCTGCATTTACAGTTGAGTGAGTTATGATTTTGCCCATAATACCAGTTACAGCTTTCCCTGTTCTTACAGTTGAGTCGAGGCAATGTCAAGATCCCATAAGCCCAGGTTCGATTTGCCATACTTCTTGCTCCCACGGTGGTTTTGAAAGTTTGTCTGGTTACAGCCATTGTGCACTTCCGCTTTGTAATTCTGGTTGCTTGATGTACAAAATTCTGTTTACTTACAGTTGGGATTGTTGGGTATTGATAACAAGGTCTATATGCCCAAGCCACTTGTTAGTTTATTTAATTTTTTTTTCCTTGTTATATTGTTACTTCAGTTTGTACTCTTAACTACTTTTACAATCATGACAAACACTACCATTTCCA